TTCTGGGAATGGCCGTATTTCAACACATGCGACTGCGCGACGTGGAGGCAATGCTTTCACCGGGTCCCCGCACGGCCGGCACCCCTGCCGCCCATTATCTCGCATGGCGGTGTTGCTTTTTCTCCAGGTTCTTTTTTCTAGCGCGCAATAAGGTGATACGGCTTGCAGCCGAAAGGAATAGGGTTCAGCTCGAAGGAAGGCAAACGAAGGAGACACCAATTGGAGGAAAGAAGAAGCAAGGGCAGGCGTGGAAATGGTGCTCGGTTTCAACGACCGGCTGGAGGTGCCACAGTCAATCAGCGAGCCCCAGCGCTTTGCTTTCGTGGTTTGTGGCATGTTTTGCGCCATCGCGTCCGGTGCCGTCTACTCCTTCTCCCTAATATCCGGCAAAATGACGGATGACTACGGCTTTACCCAGAACGATATCACCACAGTCTCAACCGTTGGTATTGTGTTTGGGTACTTTACGCTTCCCTACGGCTTCATCTTTGATTACATTGGACCAAAGCCCCTCTTTGTGATAGGCATGGTGACATACGGATTGGGCTCCGCCCTGTTTGCACTGACGTTTCAAAACAGTATTGGACACAGTGTGTTGAGCCTTTCCGTCATCAATGCCATCCTGAACATCGGTTGCGCCATGTTTGACATGGGCCCCATCCTGTCTATCCTCAGCTGGTTCCCCCTTGACCGCGGTCTCCTGGTGGCCTCCGTCAAGACGATGACGGGATTGGCGGGCTCTGTCATCGCGACGCTGTACAACACGTACTTCTCAGGTGACCACTCCACGTTCATGTACTTTCTTCTTGCCCTTTTTATGGTCATTGGGCTGGCGGCGTTTGCCTATATTCAGATCCCTCCGTACCACATGACCGGCCACAGAATCAAGCACTACACGGAGGAGGAGCACGGGGTGGCGCGTCGCGTGGAGCACATGTACCTCACCAAGAAGGCCTCTCGACGCCGCTTCCTCGTGTTGTTCGTGATCGTCCTGAGCCTTCTCGTCGTGATCACGGCGCAGAGCGTTGCCTTTGTTTATGTGGAGGGTGAAGTACCGTTCAATAAGAGGAATCCGCCCGCAATCATTATGATGGTTCTGTATATGTCGCTCTTCCTTGCGGTGCTGCCGTGGAGTTGGCTTGACAAGCCTTTGAGGGGAAGCGGCAAACCCGCGGGCAGCGGCACGGAACCTAATGACGCCCCCATGAACAACGAAAAGGACAACGACAGGAAGGACGGAAAAAACGACAGCAGCAACGAGGAGGACGAAGGGACCAGAGCAATGATATTGCCGACAATGGCTTCGAGGGGCCCAATAAGGAAGTAATGAATGAGTCGTTTGAGGACACGCAACTCTTTTCCAATGACGACAAGAATTTCCCTCAGTACCAGACTGGATTCTTTCACAACGTCCTCCACAATGTTCCACTGTGGTGTGTCTGGTTCCACGCCGTTATTGTGTCCGGTGGTGTGCATATTGTGCTGCTCAACAGCCGTCAGCTGTTCGTGGCGGTTTCCGAAGACCCGGAGAGCGAACAGCTTCCCGCCCTGTACGTCGCCCTGACGAGCGTCGGTAACGCCGTTGGTCGTCTCAGTGTCAGCTTCTTCGAGGCATGGAATGCAGGACGACCACTCGAGAAGAGAACGCCCGTTACTATCACGTACTGTGCCCCCTCTCTTTTAATGTGCCTCGCCAGCATCTTCTTCCTTGTTGTGCCTGCGAAGGCACTGATCCTTCCAATGCTTCTTGGGGGTTTGGCGAACGGTGCATATGCTGCCGCCCTCGTGTTGACTGTCCGTACCATTTTCAGCATTGACGTTGCGAAGCACTACAACAGCATCTTCTTCTTCGACTTCGTTGGTGTCGTTGTTTTCAACCGATTTATGTTTGGTGAAGTGATGACGCGCAATTCTGTTCGGACTGCGGACGGAAAGTACCATTGTCTGGGACGCGACAAGTGCCTGCGGATACCATTCCTTGTGCTTGCCTGCCTCTGCGCATGTGCCTTTGCGGCCACAGTGACGATGCATTTTGTTTACATGCGCTTCGTCCGTGCCAGACGTGAGGAGCACGCGGAGGAACGGAATGAGCAATTGGATGTAGGCGTGGCCGCCCCTGGGGGAGTGTAGTGGATCCTGAAAGCATTTCTTTGTCCTTTAATTTGTTATGCGCCTATTTTATCATATTTTTGTTTGACAACTTCTTTCCTGCTCTTCAAAAAATTCGAATTCGTCCTGTGCTTTGTTGTATTATTCTTTTTTCTTGTTCGTGTGATGTTCGTGCTTTTCTGTTTTTTTTTCCTCCCTGGAATCGTGTTCCAGCTTCACCGCTTTCTGTTTTCCCGGCTTTTAAGTTCGTGTGTTTGTGGGAATCAGCAGGAAGAACGGCGTGTGGCGCAAGGGCCTGGTGGAATGCCCCACATTATCTTTGTTGTGCATATAAAGGGTTGTAATTAAATTTCTTCGCAAGCGTCCTCTTTTTTCCTTACTTTTTTTTTTGGGGGCTTGTCGCCCCGTGTTACTTCTTGTGCTGCACGAGAGGCGCGTGGATGACGCTTTCCGCACTTTTTTTCACTACCACTTTAATAATTGTGGGGGACGGGGGGTCGCGTTGCGCTCTCTCGTGGCGGCTGGCCCAGTTTGTGTGTGGTCACGAAGGCAATGCAACTAATGCACTTCTTCTTGTTGCACTTTATCTTCTTCTTTTTCTGGCGCAAGGGGGCTAGTATAGGGCACGGGCTATTCATCTGCGGAGGAGGCAAGAGGGCACCCCGCCACTTTTCTGCCTCCTCTTCTGGGAATGGCCGTATTTCAACACATGCGACTGCGCGACGTGGAGGCAATGCTTTCACCGGGTCCCCGCACGGCCGGCACCCCTGCCGCCCATTATCTCGCATGGCGGTGTTGCTTTTTCTCCAGGTTCTTTTTTCTAGCGCGCAATAAGGTGATACGGCTTGCAGCCGAAAGGAATAGGGTTCAGCTCGAAGGAAGGCAAACGAAGGAGACACCAATTGGAGGAAAGAAGAAGCAAGGGCAGGCGTGGAAATGGTGCTCGGTTTCAACGACCGGCTGGAGGTGCCACAGTCAATCAGCGAGCCCCAGCGCTTTGCTTTCGTGGTTTGTGGCATGTTTTGCGCCATCGCGTCCGGTGCCATCTACTCCTTCTCCCTAATATCCGGCAAAATGACGGATGACTACGGCTTTACCCAGAACGATATCACCACAGTCTCAACCGTTGGTATTGTGTTTGGGTACTTTACGCTTCCCTAC